TCCTCTCCTCTCCTCTCCTCTCTCTCCTCTCCTCTCCTCTCTCTCCTCCTCTCTCCTCTCCCTCTCCTCTCTCCTCTCCTCCTCTCCTCTCCTCTCTCTCCTCTCTCCTCTCCTCTCTCCTCTCTCCTCTCAACTCTCCTGTGTCCTCTGTCCTCTCTCCTCCCCTCTCTCCTCTCCTCTGTCCTGTCCTCTCCCTTGTCCTCTGTCCTCTGTCCTCTCTCCTCTCCTCTCTCCTCTCTCCTCTCCTCTCTCCTCTCTCCTCTCAACTCTCCTGTGTCCTCTGTCCTCTCTCCTCCCCTCTCTCCTCTCCTCTATCCTCTGTCCTCTCCCTTGTCCTCTGTCCTCTGTCCTCTCTCCTCTCCTCTCTCCTCTCCTCTCCTCTCTCCTCTCTCCTCTCCTGTCCCTACTAAAAACCCGGACTTTTGAAAGTCTGGTTTTGCTTGCAAATCCTCCCCACACCCGGACTTTTGCAACTCCAGGTTTAGATTTTTTGATTTCCGGGTTTTTCGGAGGAGAGGGGGGCGGGGGTGGGTGGGAGGGAAGGAGAAGGGAGGAGGGGGAGGGGGCTGGAGGGAAGGGAGGGGAGAAATTGTGGGCAAGCCAAATTAACCTGGTCGAACGAACCAGCGGGGCCCGCCCACTCGCCCTCCATAACATAAAAAGCATAACAACGAACCGTGGCAAAGCTGGATCTTGGCACAGGATTGCGCGCTGCGGCGGGAACGCAACTCGGCCATCTCTCGGGCGGCCATGTTGCCCGATGGGCGCGGCGAAGACAGCCATGCGCCGTCCCGAAGCAGCCCTGCCGTTTTCACGCGCCAGGTGCGCGGCGTTTGAGCGCTGCCGCTCTCACGCGGCTCTGCGAACGACGCGTACGCCGCGCCCGCGCGGGAACGCCGCTTCCACGCCACGTGCGCGCAGAGCTCGGGCGACAAGTCGCCCGCTCGTGCGGCCCCACCCCAAAAAAACTTGGCGAGTGAAAGCGTGCGCCGCGCCAGGGCGGGAACGCCACTTTCGGGCGAAATTTGCGCGGCGCCGAAACGAAACGTACATGTTCGTCCGCTCGCAGCGAAGCTGGAATGCGAAACGTGTGCGCCGCGCCCACGCGGGAGCTCAACACCTAGGAACAGCCGCGCCATTTGCAACATCGGCGCCGACACGTCCATGTTGATAGGACAAACGTAGATTTGCATCATCGTTTGACCACTAGGACGGGCCCCCCCCAGATTCGCTGGCTAAGTGGCAACGTGTTCGTTTTTAGGGGGAAAGGGAACCGAGTTTACCAGGACGAACGAGGCAACGGGCCCCGCCCAGATCCACCCTCCCTCCCATCCCATAGAATACCATGGTGGCACATAATTGTGTTAGGACTGGCGCGTTTTTTCACCTAGCGAACGAAAAGCGCTCGCGCGCGAACCAACTTCCGACGATTTGGCGAGGGGAAGGAGCATGGGCCTCGCACGAACGGGAACGGATTTCTGTTCAGCCAGTCCCTACGCTGCGCTTCGGCACAGCCACGATCCACGCGGCCACGTTTGCGATACGAGCAGCGAAAACAAACCATGTGCAACGCCACAGCGGGAACGCCGCTTCCATGCGTACTCTGCACGGCGCGTTGGCGAACACGGCGTGGCGAAAACGGCACTTGGCCCATCCGCGCGCGGCCCCGCTTCCGCGTCCAACGACCCAACGAAATCTGCCAGGCCATTGGGCGAAAACGGTATTTTGCCTGCTCGCTCGCGGCCCCGCTTCCACAGTCGACGGCTCAACAAGCGAAACCTGGCAGCTGCGCTTAATCGGCAACGCAACTTTCAAGCGTAATCTGCACGACGCTTAGGCGAGAACAACGTTTCGCCCGCTCTCGCCCGGCCCCACGTCCGACGAATCAACAAGCGAAAACTGCGTGCCGCGCCCAAACGGGAACACAACTTTCACTATACAGATGTGCGGCGCTGAAGCCAAAACAATATTCCGACATTCCGCGCGATGTGCGCCGCAACCCATTTGCACCACTCATTTTGCAACGTCTGCAGCAAAACGTCCAAGTGGCCAAGAGAGCGTTGCACCGCTTTCTGATGAGTCGGAGGAAACCACCACGCTGCGAGCCATACTGGTCAGCGATGTGGCATCGTGGAAGTATAAAACAGGATGAAGAGCAATGAGGGGGGGAGTGGGCTAGGAAAAGGAGAAGGAGGTGGAGGATGAGGAGGATAATAATGAGGAGGAGGAGGAGGAGCGAGATCGAGGACGACTTTTTTTGGGGGAATGTTTGGCCCGTTTCGGCCTCTGGAGAGGATAACTGGTTAATCCCAACATGCATCAACCTTGCTGCAACACACCCGCCCGTCCCACATTCCCTCCGCATAGATCTCTACATGAATTCATGTTCACTGCGGGTATACCCCCATTGAAAGACGAACGCCAAACAATACACACCATTGTTCCGTCTCGCTTCAAATTTGGCGAGACAACATTTGGGCATGAAACTCAACGGCGTGTCAAACGAGAGCAAGGCGATTTTCCAACCATGTAGTTGCGGCGCAAGCATGATATTCGACCAGAAGAAATCCTAGCCGGGAGCCCCGTGTTGAAAAATGGCCACGTTGCGCCCACGCGCACAATTTTTGTTTTCGGTAGATCTGATAGACATTCCAGTCGCGAGCCCCGTCATGAAAAGGAACCCCTTTCTGAACGATAACTTTTGGATTTTCGGAACGTAGGGATCATATGCGACGAACTCTTGAATGGGGGCCGCCTCAAAGAATTGCAGCCGACCACCTTTGCAACCGTGAAAATGTTGGAGCTTAGGGGTCACCGGAAGTAAGAAAGTCCCGATGAAGCAAGAGGTTGATGTTGAGAAACGGGCCGCCCTTCAAGTCTGTAACCGTTCGAAGCTGTGAGAATGGGCAGTGTACAAGCTGAGGAAATGTCTATGGAGCCAGACACTACAGTTTGAGAGAACGACTCGCCTGCCACGTATGTATCTGCTGGCCACTTTGATCACTGGAATGATCACATGTGAGAGCCCTAAAACGATACTCCCATTGAAAGCTGGCCGCCCTCCAAGTGTGTAGCTGTTGCCAAAACTTGAACACTGATATCATGCTGTGTGAAGAGGTCTGACGCGAGAGCGCCGTCTAGAAGAGAAGCGCGCCTCGACATGTGTGATCGTAGTCAAAGTTTGAATGTTGGTATCCTAACATGTTCGGAGGCCTGAAGCGAGAACGCCATCTTGAAAAGGAGCCACCCTCCCAGTGTGTACGTTTATGCTGTCGAATAGTGATTATCGGTAGCATAGCATGTGAGGAAGTCAGAGGCGAGAACAGCATTTTGGAAGCGGGCCGCCCTCCATTTGTATAGCTGCTGTCAAATTTCGAGCACCGGTACTATAGCATGTACAACGTCTAAGGCGAAACGCCTGGGCCACCCTACGGACACGCCTGGGGGGAGGCGGGGAATATGTACCTACGTACAAGGAAAGGGGATGGAGGAATTCGAGGACGAGGAAGGGAGGGAGGGGAGGGAGGGAAGGGGGAGGAGGAAGAGAGGGGGTGGTCATCCGGGTGGTCCTCCGAACTCAAGAGGGATGGGTGCCGCAGGGGTCCATCCTCCCAGTTCTGCTGGGGGAGAGGATCGCAGAGATAGAGAGTGAGAGAGACAGAGAGAAAGCGATAGAGAGAGAGAGAGAGCGAGAGAGAGAGAGAGATAGCATGACAGCATGCTCGAAGAGCTCAAGTGATCTGCTAAATCCGACTCGCCTCCTGGGCGTAGGTGGCTTAGAGCTCCTGCTCTTCGGGTCCCCTGCTTCAACTTCTGGGATGGAGCTGCCCCTCCCCCCCGCCCCGTACCCTGAGTTTGGGCGGGAGGGGCGGGGGGCGCGAGGGGTTAGAGCACTCAACATTGTCAAAGGTCGCTCCAATATGGCCTCAAATAGCCCAAGATGACCTCAAAGACGGCAACTTCAAGATGGCTCAGTCTGGTCACCATGCCTCCAAGGGGCCTCATGACCGCCCCCAAAAGGCTGCAAGTGGCCTTTGAGCCTCTCAGTTCTTGTCTTTTCGCTTCTGATGGGCTTCCAACGCCTCAAGATGGTTCGGGTATCACCCAGGAGATCCAGACCTGGCTCCAAGACGGTCCCATAAGCCCTCTACAGAGCCCCACGAGGCGATGCTTCTGGCTCCGACTGGGGGCCCTACCTGACGCTCTCAACCTTGTCATGCACACCATCATTGACATATTCTAGGTTTGGAAGGATTTGGGCATCTCGGGGGTATCCTTTGGAGGCTTCTGGGCTAAGGTGATTTCAAGGTGGCCTCAGATGACCTGAGATGGCCTCCAAGATGACGAAGACCTCGAACATGCCTCCAAGAGGCCACAGTAGTGCTCTAAGTGGTCTCGGACCTTTCCAATGACGCGTGTGAGAGGCCAACATCCTTCAAACACCCAATAATGTCTTCAATCATTGTTACTCTCTCGCTTTTGCTTCCAATTGGCTTCCGAGGCCTCAAGATGATTCCACGATCACCGAAGAGAGCCCCCCAATGGGGCCAGACGAGCTCCAAGATGACCCCAGAGGCCCCCAAGAGCGCTGCAAGAGCGTAGCAAAAGGGCCCCACGAGATTTTTTTTTGGATTCGACGGGAGGTCCCTTCTTTGTTGTTGCCTTACGAGTGTTCGACACGCCAGCGCGCACAGGATACTTGCGCACATGCCGGCGCTGATCTCAACAACAAGAAGGTCTGCAGCAGAACAGCCGTGGAGTAACCACTGGCTGAGGGGGAAGACCCGAAGATTGGAGCGGAAAGACGTTGTCATGTAGCCCCGTCCGGCTCTAGCTAGCCGCTCTCGGGTGCTCGACCGCCCCTGTAGACGAGAAGCCTGCCCCCCGCAAGATCCAACTCCATCCGGCGCCCCTCGACGTCGCTATGGGGGATTTGCGGCTGCTTCTGCGACCAGCTGCGCCTTTGAAGCCAACGTTCAGACGAAGGGGGAGAAGAGCTCTCACACCAGAACCTGAGTCACGGGGCCTCTGCCGCCAGCGCGGAGGCCGAGGTCCGACGCGAGCACGTCCGCAACCTTTGCCCGGTAGTACGCCGCGTCCAGCCAGCCCGGGGCGGAGAAACCCTGCAACCTGAGGCCCCTCTCGGCCTGGAGCAGGCTCTCCTCCGCCCAGTCCCCGAACAGCGTCTCCGTGGTCTGCGCGACCCAGTCGTTGTTCGCCACGAGAAGGTCGTGGGACGCCAGGGGCGCCAGCACAGCGAGCCTGGAGGACTTCAAAGGCTTTCACATCCTGTTTCCGAGTTCCGCGCGGGCTCCTTGGATCGGCCGCAGACCACCATGGCGACGCCTGCGGCGTCATCCGTGGCGCGCTTCGCGCGCCAGTTAGGGTGGCCTGGCGCCAGCCCAGGAGATCTTCACGGGACCTCTCCAAAAAACTCGTGCTCATGCCGCTCTCCCTCCCTCGAGAACCGGTACTCCGCCTCCGAGAGACCCGGCACACCACAGGCGCGCTCGAGGGGGTCTGGTCCGCCAGGCACGGCGGCAGAGGTGCTGTAGTAGACCTTGGTCGGTGCCGTGTATCCGTGTCCTTCAAGGGTGTCGAGCGTACCCACACATCGGCGTTGCAAGAGTTCCATCATGGATTGGAGCTCGATCGTCTTGCGTTGGCAGGGCAGGATCCCGCCCAATGGTGTTTCTAAAACCGTGTGATTTTACCTCGGGGTTTTCAGCTACCTCATTTACAATATATGCTAGTATATCATGGGAAGAAACCCCGGATTCAGAAATCCTGGATCTTTGCTCCGACCGCTCTTGACCCAGCCCGGTAGGATTCTAGGGGGGAAGGAGGGGCAGCTTGACGCGGTCGGGACGAGGGTCCGCCTCCGCCCGACCGCTCACGCGAAAGTAATGGACGAAATCTGCATCATCTTGCCGCTCCCATAGAACGTGACGAACTCTTGCAACGGCGTAGCATCCACGCCCTCGCGGTCAGGACTCCGGGGCGCGACCCCGCGGGTACGCGGTCGCACGGACACGTTCCGCGCGGGGCATCCGTGACAAAACGCCCATTCTCCGCGGGGTCGCGGACCAAGAGTAGAAGAAAAAAAACGCCATTCAGAGAAACTTTTGGCGCTCCGTGCGGATTTCTTGGATCCGCGCTGGACCCCCTCCCTGGCGCGCGGAGCGCGCCAGGGGCGGCGCCGGACGCGCTGCAGGGGGGCCCAGCGCAGATCCAAGAAAAACCCACGCGGAGCGCCAAAAGTCTGTGTCTGTGTGTGGTCTGTGCGTGTGTCTGTGTGTGTGTGTGTGTGGCGTTTTTTCTTCTTCGAAAGAGCCCGGCCCGCGAGGCCGCAGGTACGGATCTGTTTTTCCCCAACGAGGCCTTCGCGGCTCCAGACGCCGACCGCCAGCAGCGTGGGGGGCGCAGTGGGCCTGGCCACCGAGGCCCGCTCCCAGAGCTCCGCGGTGGCCTCCAGGATCGCCGCGTGGAGCTGCTGCAGCTTCGCCGTGCCAGCGCCGCCCTCGCGGAGCAGGCCGAGGGGCTCGAGGGGGCTGGGGCGCAGGCTCTCGAAGAACGTCTCGGAGGCGGGGGCGTAGAAGACCTCCAGGAAGCCACGGCATCCCACGCCCGGGGCCTCACAGCGGACGGGGCCGTCATTGAAGTGGATGCCGATGGGGATGCCCACTGAGGTGTTCACGGGGACGAACGCGTTGGATGGCCACTGCCCCGAAGTCTTGTTCAGTCTTGTGTGCCACCATGCCTCTTCGTAGAAGGCATACGCCTTCGTCAAACTGCGTCCCAAGTCGAACTTCTCCCCTGGCGGAAAGAAGGTGGTTGGAATGTCGAACTTCACGCACTCCTGCATCTTCACCGTTCGCTGGGGCGTCGCCGCCAGCAACGTGGGCAGTCCGAGGATCGCTTGGCGTGGCAAGTTCAAGAGCACCTTCTGGACCTCCACAACGTGGTCGTCGAAATGCAGCCGAACCGAACGTGAGCCCTCCATGGGCTCCACGTCTGTGAGTCGGGCGTGCAGGAAGACGCTGCCGCCAACCTTCTTGATCTCGTCTACCATGCCATCAATCGCAGTCACATAGCCTGCCGGCATGCCATCGCCATCCACGATCCGAACGAGGGGTGCGCTGTAATTGAAGTGGAAGGGCGGCGGGAAGTCCAGGGAAGCATCGGGACAGTCTGGCTCGTAGCAGGAGACTGGCAAGCGCAAATTGCGCAGGATGATGTCTCCCGGGAGGTGCATGTCTGGCGAGAAGCGGTAGGCGCCCAGGTCCAGGGTGAAGTTCTCGTGGCGGTGGCCAACCTCGAAGCGGTGCGAGTAGGTGCGCCCGCCGATTCGCTCGGTGGCTTCGAAGAGACAGACCTGCACTCCTAGATGGATAGAAGACGGCAAACGCACATTTTTTTAAACTTTCGGCAGTCCGCGCGGATGTCTCTGGCGTCGGCGCGCCGAGCGTGTCCGGTGGCGGTGGCGGAGGCGCCGAAGCAAGGGTGCGGAGAGGCGGGTCCTGCGCTGCCCGAGAGATCCGCGCGGGCAGCCGGACTCGGCGGCTCAAAGATGGGGCCCTGAGGGATTGGGGCCCTGAGGAGGAGGAGGAAGGTCGGGCGTTGCTAAAAGTGCCCCTGGCCCAAGGTCCCCCCACCATTTGGCTCAATTTTGGAACCCCTGGGGCCCCCTGGGTCTCGTGAGGGGTTGCTCTGAAGGCCGTGGGGGCCTCCTTGGTAATCCTGGGGGCACCTTGGACCAGGGGCACTTCTAGCAAAACTCGAGAAGGGGTCCCAGGTTGTATTTGCATTCTTTGAGGCCCCTCGTCCTCGGGGCCCCACCCCTCAGGGCCCCATCCTTACACCACCGGCGGAAAGCCACGCGTGCCTGCCGATTTGTGCTCTGTGAGCTCCTAGGGCCGCGAGGCGGTAGGCGGAGTAGACGCCGGCCCAGCCCCCTCCAACGGCAGCCGCCTCGCAGGTGGCCGGCAGCTGCCGCGCTGGCTCTGCGGCGGCCGCGGCCAGCGCAGGGCCGATACAGATGCAGATCCCCGCGAGGTGGCGGGCGCCCCGCGGGGTCACCGTGGTGACGGAGGGCATGTCTTCGCCGCCGTGCTGGCGCCCTGCGCCTCCTTCGCCACCCACTGGCTTTGACAGCACCGTCTTGGGTCGGAAAGATTGCGGAAGGAGTTGGAGGGCAAGAGTGGGCTCAAGGTGCGCCAGCGATGCCGCAATGCAATCGTCGTGCTACCGTGGGGAACAGCAAGCAGTGGAGGGGAGCCTCGGTCACGAATATAGGTCCCCCGACCCAGATCTGAGGAGCGGCCCCCGAACCGAAGCCCCTCCCGAACCCCAAACGGCTCTTCTCTCCGCCTCCTGGCTGTGCACCCCCCCCCTTGCCCCAGCCCCACTCCTCATGGGCCTCTGCAGGCTTTCCATCTCAGCTCGGGCAGCTGCCTCTTGCCAGGCGGGAGCCCCATGGGCCTGCCGATCAAACGAGAGCCCCGCATTGAAGAGGGGCCGCTCTCCGTCGTTCTGGCTGTGAGACGCGCCACGGGGTGTGACCACGAAGACTAAAATAATGTCCATCCATAGTGACCTTTGAGGAGTGTCCGCCCCTCATTCGTCAATCAGGAACAATATCAACATCGATCTGGCAAGAAGTGCTTGGGACATCGCAGGTGGCAACTACTTTTGGAAAGGGGCGGTCCTCAATCCGTAAAGGACTTGGTAACACTCTGCTATTAGTACACGTGCATGATCACAAGCATTTCTTGTCATAACGCGCTGTGACATAACCCTGCTCTGAAACTGAATCGTCCTACATCCATGTGTCGATTATACACTTTGTAAACGAATTTGCGCGGCGCGAAAGAAGGCGATAACCACACTTTGACAACGATCGCCCTACATCCTCGCAGCTTTTGGAAACTTGTAGCACGACTATGCGCGGCGCTAAATCGAGAACTACACTTTGAAAACGGGCCGCCCGCCATCCATGTAGCTGCCATACGATTTCAAGATTTAGGGCCTGAAGAGTAGGCTCGGAGGAGGAGGCTCGTCACCTTGCCGCCCCTGTGGGGTTTAGTCGACTGAGGGGCCACGCAGATCCGAGTGGGACCTCGCCCTGCTTGGGTGCTAGAAAAGCGCGCAGGTGCCTCCTATTCCATGCCCCTCTGGGCAATCCAGCGGGCTGGCTGGCCACGCCGACCCAACACATGACCTCGCTCTCCTTGGATGCTCCCGGGTCCCCGGAGGTCTCGGGACACCTCCAGAATATCCGGAAAGAGCCGAGACACTTCAACCTCGACCGCCGATCTCCCTCCTCCTCCTCCTCCTCCTCCTCCTCCTCCTTCCCCTCCTACTCCTCCTTCCCCTCCTACTCCTCCTTCCCCTGCTCCTCCTCCTCCTCCTCCTCCTCCCTCTCCTCCTACTTCTACTTCTCTTCCTCTCCCTCACCCCCTCCTCTTTCTCCTCCTCTTCCTCTTTCTCCTCCTTCTCTTCCTCCTCCTACTCTTTCTCCTCTCCTCCTCTGAGCGGCAACGTCAGGGGGACCTGCTCAGTGGTGGTGGTGGGGGGAACATCCTGGAATCGGCGATATAACGCTAAGAGATCGGCAGTAAGCCCCAAGTAGCGGATCCGCACGGTCCTGGGCGGGGAAGGCCATCGGGCCGCTATCGACGATGAGTGGGCGATTGGGGGTCGATGCGTCCCCCTGAGCCTCTCGCCCCCTCTGATGTAGCCCCTTCCTCGTTGTCCCGACCAGCCTCCCCAAATCGGTCTCCGACCCATCCTGATGTCCTTCTTGATCAGTCTTTCACCCCGGATCGATTTCTGACGGCCCCGCGGCCCGAAGCAAGCTCCTCCTCCTTGTCCTCCTCCTCCTCCTCCTCCTCCTCCTCCTCCTCCTCCCCCTCCTTCCCCTTCCTCCTCCTGGTATCCTCCTCCTCCTCCTCCTCCTCCTCCTCCTCTCCTCCTCCTCCTCCTCCTCCTCCTCCTCCTCCTCCTCTCCTCCTCCTCCTCCTCCTCTCGCAACCGCTGATCCTCGATCCTCGATCCTCGATCTTCTCCCAAGGCTCCTCCTCTTCCTCCTCCTCCTCCCCTTCCTCCTCCTCCTCCTCCTCCTCCTCCTCCTACCTCCGCTGGTTGGGACAATAGAGTCCTCCTCCTCCTCCTCCTCCTCCTCTTCCTCCTCCTGCTCCTCCTCATCTAGAGGCCTCCTCGATGGGGTCCGAGTAGATGGGGTCGGAGGATCGCTCCGCATCACCGATACATCGGCGATATATCGGCGATGCACCAGCGATGCATCGTCGACGTCGGCGATGCATCGGCGATGTCGACGTGAAGCACAGCGGGCTCCACATCGAGCCGCGTCGGCGATGCATCGGCGAAGCGGCGCGATCCTCCGACCCCATCTACTCGGACCCCATCCAGGAGGCCTAGATCCTTGCAACTTTGATTTGTCTTGAAGCTCAGGCCTCTTAGGGCGTTCTCGTCGCCATGGCTGGATTCCCCTCAGAGCTCGGGCCAGAAGGCACCCTTGTACAACTGCAGGGGCCTGGAAAACAACTGCCCAAACACGTGCCGAACACGGAATGAGGATAACTTCGGATGATATAAACAGACATCGGGAATGTCTGAGAGCTGGCCAGCTTGAAGGGTGTATCGGGCGCCATGGCCGTTCCAGAGCGCTCTGAGTGTTCCCGAACGCTCTGGAGCGATTGATCCACATCCTGGGCCTGCCTCAAAACATTCAGCGGTCCACACGAGGACCGAGCGCTGGAAAGAGATACGATGAAAGCGAGATGATGACAAGTTCGGTTGAGGTTGAGTCGGGGATCTCTGAGAGCTGCCGGGTCTGGAGAGATGCGTTGGGCAGAACATGTCGAAACGCCCTCTGTAACGATGCATCCTCATTTAAGGCCTGCCTGACGATACGCGACTGCACGTGAATCCAAGTTATGCCCACGCCGGCCACGACCAATATATTTGGCTTCCTGGTAGGCCAGCGAGCCCCTGGTCGGCCGTCTCTGCAGCAGCGCTGGCGTTCTTCCTCTTCTCTTCTTCACTCGTTTCTGTGTTCGTTGTTCCAACGCTCGCTCAAGACGTCTAGAATACAGAAGGCCGCCCGGCACGGGCAATCCGCCTAGCACGCCTGTCGCGTCTTTTTTTGTCACAAGCTTCCCGCTCGTAGTGCATGCCCCGAATGTCCCCTCGCGCGTCCGTGCACCAGCCCATGGCAGCACGCTCTAATTACAGAGTGAGTCTTGACTCTCGCCCGCTCTACTAAGCCATGCCAAATCAAACTCATCATCCACTTTCCATTGTGCCCTCCATCCGGCAGCAACTTTGGAGAAGGATGGCAGCGGAGATCCTAGCAGGGGTCAATTTCCGCACTCTGAACTTCTCGGCAGAAGATGAACTTCTACTAGCGTCACGGATGGAGCCCGATGAATCGGGCGGCCCCCTGTGATGGTAAGAAGGGGTAAATCTAGCCGGAACACGTTGCCACTACGTCCGCGCACGGAGCGCGCTCAATCGGTCCCGTTGCGAACGCCCCCTGCGTATATCTCGAACACGCTCTCGGCCTCGGGAAGCCAAGGCGAATCGTAGATCTTCGCGACGCGCTGCTCCGCACGGCCCTTCCTCAAGAACACCCTCGTCGTCGAGAAGTGCGCGAGCACGTGGCCTCCGATCGGCTTTGGGTGGCTGGGCATGAACGCGCAGCCCCCGCCAGGGTCTGCCATCACCTGGTTGGTGAGGACGACGGCTATGTTGAACTCCTCGCTCATTTTCTGCAACTTGCTGAGGACACGGCCTAACTTCTGCTGGCGCTCTGACAGCTCGCCCCGCCCAGAGAAATCGACCCGGAATATGCCCATGATGGAATCGATTATGAGCAGAGCGAAGCGGTCCTCGTCAGTGACCATGAGGCTGGCGGCCTGAACGAGCAGCTGCTCCAGGTGCTCGGATGTATAACACCGCGCGTAAATTATATTCTCCATCGCAGCGTCCGCCGAGACTCCCTTCCCCTCTGCTATCTGCTTGATGCGCTCTGGCCGGAAGCAGCCCTCCGTGTCAATGTAGACTACCTTGCCGTTCGCTCCGCCCATATTCGGAGGCAGCTGGGCCATCACGGCCAAGGAATGGCACAGCTGGGTCTTTCCGCAGCGAAACTCACCAAAGAGTTCGGTTGTGGAACAACTTTCCACGCCGCCGCCGAGCATCTGATCTAGCTTAGAGGCGCCAGTAGAGAGAGCGAATCGTGACTTCATCTTGTCGACGAGCTGTGTACACGTGACAAAACCGGCCTCGGTGGACTTCCTGGCAGCATCGATGATCTTGTCAACCTTTTGGTCGGAAAGGCCCTTTATGTTGAGCAAGTCTTTGCGCATGGCGAAGACGACCGACTGGCTTGTGTTGAAACCTGCCTCCTTCAGCTTCTTCAGATCGGCTGCGTTGATGCCAGCCTCCTGTAACTTATCAATCAAACTGTAAGCCTCCTCTTCCTCTTGCAACAATTCCGCGTCGGCATCAGCGCGTGTCGCGGCTCCCTTTGGGCCCACTTGGAAAGCTGCGCTCATGGTGTGCTGCGGTGCAGAGATCAAGATGATGCACAGGGCTCCACTGATCTGGCGGCCTAATGCTGGCGCGACCTGTCGGGAACCAAAATGGCCACCGCAATGCGTCGAAGACGACTGGCACGTCTGAAATCACTAGCTTGTCACGGGTACGTCGGACACGCCACATCGAATTGCAGTCAAGGTGCTACCACAGGGAACGCTGAGGAAGGAGCGAAGCCCCCTTCGGGCCCGCAAAACGCCTGGATGCACGAGGCGCGCTCGAGGAGCAATCATGGAAGGACCCCAAGGAACAGCGGGCCTAGTGCGGGCCCGAACTGTACCTTATTTCGGCGTTTCGCCTGAATCGCTCAACCGCCTAGGGTCTTTTGCCAAAGTTTTGTCACTTGACGACAAACGCACATCTTGCAGTTATCTGCGGCTCCCTGGAGCCCGCTAGCTTGAGCCTGGCTGCCGAGCGGGTCCCCCCCCGACTCCCACGTCAAGGCTTTGACTTTCGTGGGACGTGCGCCAGACTGACTGGCCGTCCCCTGACTTTCTTGGGTCATCAGCCTAGTCCCAGGGGCAGCGTCGGCTTGCGATCGCCCCTGGAACTGGGTCGGCAAGAAACGAGGGGACACTTCTGCTCAGAGAGGGGCGCTTTTGGATAGGAGCGCTGCTAAAAAGTGAGCTCACCCAGAGAGTAATCCCACCAGCCCTCTGGGCGTCGGTGGTTTAGGGCGTTTCCTCTTCCACCCCTCCCTCTTCCCCTTCGGGGAGGGGTTTACCCCTCACCCTACCCCCTCCCCTGGACCTGGACGGGGGGGGGGGCGGGCGCGGGTAGTTAGAGCGTCCAAGATGGCCCAAGATGGCTCCATGAGGGCCTTAGAGCAGCCCAAGATAGCGTCGAAGATGGCTCAAGATAGCGCGAGATGCCTCGATATAGCTCCGACGATGCTCCAAGACGCTCCAAGACGGGTCTAAATGGCCAAAAGAGCTCCCCAATGACGTCCCGACCAGGCCAACATACTTCAACACCATAGGGAAACTTAATGTTTTTGGCGTTATCGCTTTTGCGCTTCCGATGTCCATCCGAGGCCTCAACATCGCTACAAGATGGCCCAACAGGGGTCCAACGAGGGACCAAGAGAGCTCCAAGACGGTCCCAAGAGCGCCCAAGAGCGCTCCAAGAACGCTCCAAGATGGGTCCAGGAGGCGATTTTGGGTGCTCCTGAGGGGGGGCGTAATTGAGGACCCCCCCCCCTTCGTTGACCGATCTCCTCCAAGATGGCCCCAAGAAGCGCCCAGGAGGCCCCAAGGGGTCCCAAGATGGCCCCAATATTGCCCCAAGAGGCCCCCAAGAGGCCCATGAGGCCCCCAAGAAGACCCTAAGCGGCCCCCCCCCCGAGACACCCAAGACCCCGAAGAGCCCCCCAGGATCGTCAAGAGACCCCGAAGACGTCCGAAGAGGCCACCAAGAATCGCCCAAGAGATACCCCAAGAGGCTCCGAGAGGCATCCAAGAGACCTCTGGCCCTTGTGCTTGCCCTCCTCCTTCTCCAGTTCCTCCTTCCTGCTCCCACTCCTTCTCTTCCTCCTCCTCCTCCTCCGCCTCCTCCTCATCCTACTCATCCTCCTTCTTCCCACTCCCTCATCCATCCATCCATCCAGCTCCTCCTTCTCCTCCTCACTCCTTTGCACGGTTCGGCCGTCCTCTTTGCTGCCGCACTTCCCTGATCACCTCAACTCGCCTGGACATCGTTTCTGGATGGGCTGGTGGGGATACTTTTTTCTTTTTCGGTCGCGTCCGCAAGCGAAGGCGCAGGCGGAGTCAGAAACGGTCCGGGGCGCGGAAACGGGCCTAATTAGCTACTGGGAGCGCCGCAGGCCGGCCGGGCCAGCTCACCAAGCAGCTGCTGTGCCGCGCGGAGAAGCTGACAGGCTGAGGGCACCAAGGGAAGCTCGGGCAACGTGCAGCCTAGCAAAACGCCAGGGAATTCGGTGTATGCCAGGCGGCGTGAACCACTCAGCGAGCGCGAGGACGTACGCGCAGATGCCTAAGCGCCTCACACGCCTGGAGTACGCACAGACGAGGTGAACGATGAACGAGTCGCCAGCGGGCCAGCTGGTGGGGATACGCGAAGCGTCTAGAATTCAGTCAAGGTTTTGCCATGGGGTACCAACCTCCTGTTGGCCTTAGTTGCGCCTAGGTGTAAGACGAACGCCAACGGACGACCAGTGTAAGGCCCCAAGGCACATCGAGCCCCTTCTGAACAAACACATGGGCCTTGTCCCCCCCCATGTTTTTTTGTTGTTGTTGTTTTTTTCCCACCCGCCGAGCGTTACGACGGATTTCGTTTTTTTTTGGAGGGCGACGAGGGAACGAGGGAGAGGAGGAGGAAGACGAGGCCGAGGGGGGCGCAACGACAACCCCGAAGCGCAGAAACGACAAAGCGGGAGGACAGGAAACGAGAGGGGAGGCGACAGAGCGACGAGACAAGACGACAAGAGGCAAAGCGACAAGAGAAGAGCGGGACCAGAGCCTCAGGAGCCGAGCAACGCCGAACTCCAGGAATGACTTCAGCAGAAGAGAAGGACAACGCCGCACTCTGCAATATAAGCTCGAGCTCATCAGAAGGATCAGCACAACCACCGCGCGAGTCCCACATCAGGATATTCGTAAACCTGCCCAGCGCCAGCGCCCCCGGTTTCCAATCAGGCAAAATGCAAAAGATATTGTCGGGCCAAGATAGCACGCCGCACACCACCACGCGTGCATCGACATGTAAACCGAACAGGGAGACCAATAGCCAATAGAAGAGGTGGCCTCCGAGCATCCCCAACTGATGCCAAGAAGCATAGGACAAAAGAAGAGACCACTGACCAATGCAATATGATGAACAACGGCACCACGAACATGATATGACAATCATGACGTCGAAAAGGAGGTGATAATGAAAACGAGCAGCCGGAGCCTCAAGGATGATGGCGAACACAGTCGGACTCAGCAGGCGGAGCCCCCCGGGGACTCGGCCCAATCTTCATCGAACTCTGCAGCCCCCCAAGGCCACGGCTCGCGGGCACCTCGGCTGAGGCCCCGCCTCTCGAGCCTCCACCGCCTCGCGGGCGCCTCGAGAGAGGCCCCGCCTCCCCGGCCTCCTCCGCCACCAGCGCCACGGGAGAGGCCCCGCCTCCCACGCCTCCGCCTCCTCCTGCGGCAGCCCGTCCACCAGCGGCCAGCGCCCCATGCTCCTGTAGGAGGCGTGCCGCCTTCGCGTAGCCGATGCCCCGCCTGATGAACTGGCGTCGGGCGTCCCCGTCCTTGCCCTGGCCCGCGTGCATCGCCAAGAACCGCGACTGTTCGAGGAGCAGCTGCGCCACGCTCTCGGGCGTAGCGCCCGGCATGGCGGCGAAGATGGGCACCATGTCCATGGCCTCAGCGCGCGCCGGATCGATGGGCTCTTTCTCTGCCGCGGGCAGCGGCGCCGCGACGGGCACCTCCTAGGCCTCGGGCTGCAGCGCAGCGGCCGCGGCAGCAATCCCCAGAGAGCTCGGCGGCGGCTCCTCGCCCGCAGCCTGCGTCGGCTCCTCGCCCGCAGCCTGCGTCTCGAGGTCCAGCACCACAGGCGATGCCGCCGCATCCAGTGGGGCCGGGCTTGGAGCCAGGCTGGCCGCCGGGCTGGGTGCCGGGCCGGCCGCCGGGCTGGGCGCCGGGGGGGCCGCCCGGCATGGCGCAGGTGGCGGGCAGGGCGCCAGGCGCGCCGCCTGGCTTGGAGCCGGGCTGGGCGCCGGGCTAAAAGCCGGTCCCTTCTTCTCATGCTGGTCCTCCTCATCGTCCTCGTCGTAGTCCTCCTCATCGTCCTCGTCGCCGTAGGCCTTCTCGTAGCCGTCCTGCTGTTTGCCATCCGAGAAGCCGCCCTCCGTGGAGCCGGCCGCCGAGATGCCCTCCGCGAGGCAGCCCGCCCCGGAGCCATCGCTCGAGCTGCCCTCGGCGAAGTTGCCCTGCTCGAAGTCGTTCCTGGGGTCGCCCTGTGCTGTGCAGTCCTCCTCGAAGCTGTTCTGCTGTTGGCCCTCCGCGAAGCCGTCCTCTGAGAGAGTTGGGAAGAAGGCCTCCTCGTCCTCGCCTGCATCCGCACTGTCGAGGGCCACGACGGGGACAGGATCGAAGTGGTGGAGCATCAGCGCCGTCTGCGTCATGGAGTGGCAGGCCGCTGCCTCCGCAGGAGGCTCCCCAGTGCGGGCGGGAGCCGACTGCCCTCCCAAGTCCGCCTCGAGGATGGGCGCGACCAAGGTGAGCCTCGCCACGAGCTCGGGCTCCGCGGCCCGCGGCCCTGGCGCGTCGCGCTCGGTCGCCGCGGCAGACGGGCGCACAGCTGCCTGCGCCGCCTCCATGGCGCGCATCTCGGCCTCGAGCCCAGCGCATCGGGCCTCGAGCCCCGCCACGCGGCGCAGCGCCTCCGCCAGGCGCCCAGCGGCCGCCTGGCGCCCGGCCTCCTGTCTGGCCCGCCGCACAGGCCACGACGAAGGCCTGGCCGCCAGGGGCACTGCCGGGGGCTGCTCAGCCGCCGCATGGGCGGCCCTGCAGCTGACCGCAGCCATCTCCTCAAGCTCCCAGCTCCGGACGCCTCACGCCGCGAAGGGAGGCGGCGCGGGCCGCGGCGACGGAAGGAAATTCGAAGATGGTCTTGGCTCTTGAGCCGGCTTGAGCCAGGCAGGCGCTTGAGCCAAAATGGCTTGAGCCACTTGTCCCCCCCAAAATGGCCGCAATGCTGGAGAGAGGCGGCCCTGCATAAGTGGGAGGAGTTTTTCACCTGGAGCGGAACGATTCCGGGGGTGGGCACTTCAGACAGGCAAGGCTCGTCCTAAGCAATGCTCTCTGTTTTCGTTCTGCTTTCTTTTTCCCTCGTTCTGTCGTCTCTCCACCTTTGCCGCAAAAGGAAATCTAAACGCGAACGGCCCACCATATCGCCGAAGCCCGTTCAGCTCGAGCCCTGCAGATAGGCTCCTCTGGACAGGGGCACCTCTGGAAACGAACGCCCTCGCAACGGAGCACCCCAGGGGCAGCGCCTCCAGAGAAGAACACCCCGAGAGGGTGCAGGAGGAAACGGCGCATGTCGACGCACGTGAGGCTGGAACGCCCATCGCGGAAAAGCGGGCCAACGTGTCCAAGAAAGGTGGCTCGCTTGTGACGGGTGCGGCTCGAACGGTGAACGCACGTGCGACA